AAAACAGATAAAAAAAAATTAAGAGAACAGAAATAAAAATAAAATGGCAGACTTAAAACATAACAATACGATAATTACATTAAAGGTAAATGGTCTAAATATACCAACTAAAAGACAGACATTGGCAGAATGGATTTTTAAAAATGATACAAGTATATGTTGTCTACAAGAAACTCACTTCAAACATAATGATGTTTTATGTAGAAAACCCCAAGTAAGCTACAAATAAAACCAAACACCAAAAACCCAAACCCTCCTGGATTACAGAAGACAATAGATGCCAACAGGAAAAAAAAAAAGAACCCTATCTCTGTATTTAATAAGTGAGTTCAACAAGATTACAGGATACAAGATCAACATACAAAAATCAATTTTATCTCTATATGCTAGAAATTAACATGTGGAAACTGAAATTAAATATACCTAACATTTGTAATTACTTATTTTTAAAAAGGTATAAATTTGACCAAATGTGTATAGAACTTGTATGCTGAAAACTATGCAACATTTATGAAAGGAATCAAAGAACAACTAAATAAACGGACGTATATACCCATGTTCATGGATTGGAAGACTTAATAGTAAAAATGTCAGTTCTTGAAAAATATACATGTTTAATGAAATTCCTATCATAATCCCAGCAAGATTTTTAATGAATATAAACAAGACTATTTTAAAATTTATATTGAAAGGTGAAGGAACTAGAATAGTTAAAAGAATCTTGTAGACTGAGTGTGGTAGCTCATACTTGTAATCCCAGTGCATTGGGAGGTCACAGTGGGAGGGCAGCATAAGGCCAGGAGTTCAAGACCAGCCTGGACAACATGGAGAGATTTCTTCTCTACCAAAAAAAAAAAAAGTCTTGTAAAAGAAGAATAAAGTGAGAGCAACCAGCCTATTCAATTTCAAGATTTATAGAGAACTTCAATAATCAAGACTGTGTGGTATTGGTGGAGGAATAGACACAGACCAAGGAAACAAAATAGAGAACCCAGAAATAGACCTGTACAAGCAGGCCAGTTGAATTTTACAAATGTGCAAAAGCAATTCAATGGAGGAAAGGCAGCCTTTCAAACAAACTGTGCTGGAGCAATGGGACATGTAGAGACAAATGAACCTTGATCTAAATCTCACACTCCAGACAAAAAGTAATTCAAAGTAGGTTACAGACTTAAGCATAAAATGTAAATCTATATAACTTTTAGAGAAAAACAGGAAAAAATCTCTTGAGGTAGGACTACACAGAGTTCTTAGACTTGACATCAAATGCATAATCCATAAAACAAAAAATTGATAAATTGTTTCTGATCAAAATGAAAACTTTTACTCTGCAAAAGACCTTGTTAAAAGGATTAAAAGACAAGTTACAGACTGGAAGAAAATATTTGCAAATCACATATCTAGTATCTAGTAGACTAATGTCTAGAATATACCAAGAACTCTCAAAACTCAACAGTAAAAAATCAACAAGCAAACAATTAGAAAATAGCCAAAAGGCTGCAGTGAGAGGAGATCGTACCACTGCACTCCAGACTGGGTGACAGAGTGAGACCCTGTCTCAAAAAAAAGAAAAAAAAAGAAAGAAAAGAAAAGAAAGAAGGAAAGAAAGGAAGGAAGGAAGGAAGGAAGGAAGGAAGGAAGGAAGGAAGGAAGGAAGGAAATAGCCTAAATGATGGGCACGGTGGCTCATGCCTGTAATTCCAGCACTTTGGGAGGCTGAGGCCAGGTGGATCACCTGAGCTCAGGAATTTGAGACCACCCTGGACAACATGATGAAACCCCATCTCTACTAAAATACAAAAAATTAGCCAGGTATGGTGGCCTGCACCTGTAGTCCCAGCTACTCCGGAGGCTGAGGCATGAGAATTGCTTGAGCCTGGGAGGTGGAGGTTGCAGTGAACCAAGAAGGCGCCACGGCACTTCAGCTTGGGCTACAGAGTGAGGCTCAGTCTCAGAAAAAAAAAAGGGGGGGTGGGGGGGAAGAAAATAGCCAAAAGACAAGAAGAGACATTTCACTGAATGGGATATATAGATGGCAGATAAGCACATGAAATAACACTAGCCATTAGGCAAAAGCAAATTAAAGACCATAGTGAAATATCATCACTACACACTTAACAGAAAGATTAAAATTTTTAAAATGGTGACAACACTACATGCTGACACGAATGCTGAGAGACTGGATCTCTCCTACACTGCTGGTGGGAATGTAAAATACTACAGTCACTCTGGAAAACATTTTGGCATTCTCTTTAAAAACTCACAATTTCCATACAGCTCAGCAATTGCACTCCTGGGCCCTCATCTCAGAGAAATGAAGACTTAGGTTCACACAAAAACCTGAACATGGAGGTTTACAGTAGCTTTATTCTTAATCATCAAAAACTGGAAACAACGCAGATATCCTTCAGCAGATGACTTGTTAGGCACACTGTGACACTTCCATACTGTGGACTGCTATACCCAACCACCTGGAATTACGCTGAATGAAAAGGTGAATCCTAGAGGTTATGTACTTTATGATTCTATTCATAAAATATCCTTGAAATGACAAAATTTTAGAAATGGAGAACAAAATAGTGGTTGCCAGGGGTTCTAGGGAAGTGAGGATGAGAGGGAAGTGGATGTGGCTATAAAAGGGTGCCACTTTGTGGGATGGAGACGTTTTGTAGCTTGACTACAGATACTGCATCAGTGTCAGTATCCTGTTGTGATATTTACTGTGGTTTGTGAGAAGTTGCCACGGCAGGAAACTGAGTAAAGGGCACATAGCATCTCTCCGTATTATTTGTTACAACTGCATAAGAATCTACAATTATCTCAGAATAAGTTTAATTACAAGAAAAAGCCAGATACAGAACAATAGGATCTGTCTCTTAAGTCCCAAATTCCCAGTTGGCTGGCCACACACCACAGTCTCAGTTCTGTCCATAACCAAGTTTTGGGGATCTCTTCAAGTTTGCAAATGTCACTTCTACTGAGATCCCTCTGACAACTTCAGTTAAGGCTCTCCTCAAAACCTTTTTTTTTGAGACAGAGCCTTGCTTTTTCACTCAGGCTGGAGTGTAATCACCGCAACCTCCGCCTCCTGGGTTCAAGTGGCTCTCCTGCCTCAGCCTCCTGAGTAGCTGGGATTACAGGTGCCTGCTATCACACCCAACTAATTTTTGTATTTTTAGTAGAGATGGGGTTTCACCATGTTGGTCAGGCTGGTCTCGAACTGCTGACCTCAGTTGATCCACCCGCCTGGCCTCCCAAAGTGCTGGGATTACAGGCGTGAGCCACTGAGCCCGGCCTCTCCTCCAAATTTTCAAGCTGTGTATTTTAAATCATGAAATGTTAGAGCCAGGAACATGTGAAATAATGGCTTGATAAAAGCATCCATCAGACCCCCAACCACCCTTCCTTTCAATGAATTATAACCCACGGAAATCCAGTGCACTTAGCGTGTCCAGCTTTGAGTGAAGCCCCCAAGCTTCCTGCCCCTGAGACTGCTGCCCCTCAACCTCTCTTGCATGGATTCTGTAGAGCTGCCCGGACCAGAAGTCACTTGGCCACTCCTCTGCTCCAGGCGTGGTGGCCTGCCGGAGGCCAGAGAGTGGTTGAGTCACGCTCAGCAGTGCCTACAACTCAAGCCACTGCTCAAAGGCTGTTGTTTTATTTCTCGAGTTAGACCACAGGCTCTACAACAACCTGGGCCTCATTGGACACACACAGTGTAACGCTGAGACACAGTTCTCAATGCTGCTATGGTGTAGAATTTTTTGCAGAGGAGGAAAGACAGGAAGGCCTCTTGAGGTCAGTGTGAGTCAGGGACACTTCACTGGGGCATAGGTATATCACTCATAGGTTGAAGGTGGTAGACTGAGGCTCAAAGAGCAAGCGGAAGAGCTAATGTTCAACCCAGGTGGTCTGGAGTCTCAGTCCAGTGGCCGTATCCTGCACGGCCACGTTGCTAGTTATACTGGACAGAGCTCAGACTGTGCCCTGGCCTGTGTAGATGCACCAGAGGTTTTATCTGGGGGTCACAGCCACTGGGCATGGGAGGGTTGCTGGGGATTGCTGGGAAGGGACAAGGCATTTGTAGGCATACACCATCTGCTTTTACACTACCCAGAGTCACGTGGACCCCCTCCAGCATTTTTTTCCCCCCGAGATGGAGTCTCACTCTGTCACCCAGGCTGGAGTGCAATGGCGTGGTCTCCGCTCACTGCAACCTCCGCCTCCTGGGTTCAAGCGATTCTCCTGAGTAGCTGGGACTACAGGCGCGTGCCACCACGCCCGACTAATTCCCCCTCCAGTACTGTATGTGTCTGACTGCATGAGGCGTGAGTGTGTCTGTGTACGACTGCGTGTGTATGATGTGTGTGTATCATTGCAAGTGTATGATGTGAGTGTGTCTGTGTATATGTGTGGGCCAGGTGTGTAGTCTGCAGATGTCTGTGCACGTCTGTGTCTCTGTAGGTTGTCTGTGCCTATGTCTCTGCATTACTTTCTATGTGAATCTAAGTGAGTTTGTGTGTCTCTGTGGATGTCAGGTGTCTTTGTGTCGCTGGGGCTGTGTGTGTGCATGCATGTGTGGTCTGTGTGTGTCTGTATGCATGTAGTATCTCTGGGATGTGTGTCGGTATGTCCATGCAGTGTAGTGACTTTGGGAGTGCACATGTGTGCACGTGTGGTATGTGTGCGGCCCTGCGCGCGTCGTCTGTGTACGTGCGGTGCCTGTGGGTATGTGTGCGCGCGTGTGCCCGGGGATGTGGTGTGTCCTCCTGCGCTGAGGCTCCGATGAACCCAGCTCAGTTCAGGCCTCCCTGATAGTCCCCGGGCGGCCACCCCGGGGCGCGGCTGTCCACGAGGCGGGGAGGAGAGGAGTGCGTGGCTGGGTCGGCGGGCGGCGCCCCCGCTCCTCCCCGCGGGCCGGGCACACGTGGGCCCCGGGCGCCGCCTCCCCGCGCCGCCCGCTGCCCGCCGGGTCCCGCGCGTCCCCACCCACCTCGGGCCGCCCCCGCCGCCGAGCCGGCCCGGGGATAAAGTGGCGGCGCAGACGCCGCACCCTGTCGCCGCGAAGCCGGTCGCGCGCAGCTCGTCCCGGCCCTAGCCCGCCGCAAACGAAGATCCGCGGCGCTCGGGGAACGCGACAGCGGCGCTCGTGGCCCCGGTAACTGCCTCCCGGCCCCCGCCCCAGCCCGCCAGTGCCGCCGTCAGGGGTGGGGAGCAGCATCGGGGTCCCGGAAACACCCGGCGTGAGCTCCCGCTACCCATGTATGCGTGTGTGTGTTCACGGTGTGTGTGCGCGCGTGTCCTTGTGTGCGCGCGTGTGTGTGCGCGCGCGCCCTCCCTGCTCCCTCGCACCAGCCCCCAAACCAACTTGTCCCCATCAACTCCATCTTTCTAGTCCCCACCTTCCCCGGTGCAGATACCGGCGAAGCGCCCCCCGGTTTTCCCAGGGGCATTTCCGATGACAGCTGCGGGGCTACATGTCCTGTACTGTCGGAGACGCGCAGGAAGCAAAGTTTGTGAGAAACCTTGGGGGCGACTTTGCCTCGGGCACCCGCATTTGTGCGTCTGCGAGGTGCCTCGGTGTGCGCCGAGCTAGTTTCCCAGTTTCCCGGGCCCCTCCCTGCTCCGAGCCCCTCCAGCGATTTGTTTAGGAAAAGTGATTACATGAACTAGTAGTGGAGATTCGCAGCGCCGCTCCCCGCCCTGGGGAGGGAGGGGAGCCCTGGAGAGAGCCTGCCAGTGGGAGCTGGAAGCAGGCTCCCGGCTGAGCGCCCCAGCACGAAAGGCAGGGTCTGGGTGCGGGAAGAGGGCTCGGGAGCTGCCTTCATGCTGCCTTGGGGCCGCCTAGATGAGGGAACAGCCGGGTTTGCCTGGTTCTGATTCTCCAGGCTGTCGTGGTTGTGGAATGCAAACGCCAGCACATAATGGAAACAGGTTTGTCATGTATCCTTGGAATTTCAGATGGGAGGAATAATCTGAGTATCATCCACCTCATTACTGTGCCCACTTGAAACTGTTCCTTGGAGATTTTAAGATAGATGGGTCTTCTTGCAGCTGGGTCTTTGTACCCATAGAACTGACTGTAATTTCCACTTGATTACAGCTAAAATAGTCTTTAAGATGAAGTTTCCTGAAATGATTTAAAATAAACACAGATGGGAAGGGGGAAAAGCTGTAATGAGGCACTTAAAAAATAAAGTGAGCATTTTCTTAAGAACAAATGGGATTTTTCAGTCTTGGAGAGGTTTGCAAGAAATATATGTATTTTTTAAGCCTTTGAAACGGAGGGGTTTTTAAAACTGCTTTTAAAAAAATGTTACTGACTCTGAACTAGGCTTTTCTCTCCTATCCATACATGTTCTTGAGATATTTCTGACTTTGGAATATGTCACTTTTCCTTCTAGGATCTGAAGACCCTTCCAGAATGCCAGAGGAAAGTTCCCCCAGGCGGACCCCACAGAGCATTCCCTACCAGGATCTCCCTCACTTGGTCAATGCAGACGGACAGTACCTCTTCTGCAGGTACTGGAAACCCACAGGCACACCCAAGTAAGTCTTCCTTAAAGAGTCACCCCAGGTGACAGGGGAGCTTGACCCCTGCTTCTCCTCTGGTCGTTATCATGTGTCATCTGGGGCGGGGCCGCTTTCTCTATGACCTACTTCCCCTGCTATTTTAACGTTAGGCTGAGCAATGTTAACAAAGCTAAAATGTATACTTTATAATTTTTAAATTAAGAAGCAGGAATTCTTTTTCCATTATAACAACTCAGATATGGATCCTACCGTATGGCAATTTTCAAAAATTCCACATGACTTTATTTTTTGTACTGGAGTTGATTTCCTGTTGTACAGGCATTCATTTAAAATCAAACCCAACAATTAAAGAAAATCCCCTAGATGGATGAGAAACCCGAAGTAATACATATATCTTCACCTTTGCTCTCTTTTCCTGCTTGTTTCTGAGCTTCAGAAGATGGCGTACATGTGTCACCAGGAAGACAGGGGCCTGGGTATTTCCTTCCGATTCCTTGCCTGCTCAATTACTTTGTACATTTTCCATCAAGGATTTGTCTTGCTATTAGAAGCAGGCATTGGGACTACACACAAGACAGTTGGTCTCCTGCTGCTGCTCCCTCCTCTTGGATGAAGCAGGAAAACCCTGCTTGTTTGTGTTATTTGGAAAAAGAATTTATTTGTGGTAACCAGTTGGCCTGGTGACAAGTAAACATTTCCTGTTCCAGGGACATTTTACCTGTTTTGTAGGCCTCTTGTCTCCTAGGGATCATTGTGTGGTTGGATCATGTCTCTCTTTGTGCTCCAGTAATCACCCAACCCTCACACAGGTGTAAAATTTCTTCTCTGTCTTCATCAAGGTATGATTCAGGGAGCCTCACATCAAAAACACAGAGATACGGACTTTTAAAACCCGGCGTAGAGTCACAGCTTCAGGGCAGCTATACATACTGACTATGGTTTCTCTCTAGTGTTTTGAAGTGTGTAATGTGCTGAGAAGGGTTCCTACCAGTTCTGGTAATACATTTCTTAAAGAATGTGTCTGTACGTGCATATGCATTAGAGGAAGTGTGGGGGGCTGTCGAGCATTATGATGCTAATTAATCATTAATTCTCCACTCTGTCTTAACTGGCTGTAGAATTGCTCAATCTTGGATTAATTTCTAACAGATTAGTGGTTTGTGGTAATTTGATCAATATACAGAAAGAGGACAAATAATTGAAAATAGAAGTTTTTAATCTGAGTCTCAGACTTGGGAGGCTTTGTTGGTTAAGTAGTGAGGTTGTCCTAGTTCGAAGTCAACAAAAATAAAGAGGTTCTGCAGTCCTGGCACAGGGGGAGGGCGGCGGGTGAGTGGGTTAGAAATGGTCAAGTTGGCTGCCCTGCCCTCTCCTCGCCTGCGAGTGGTTTTCACAATCTCTGTGCTGAAGTTGCATTGCAGGGAGCTCTCTCTGCTCCGTTGCTTTTGCTCTAGTTAGAAATGATAACTCAACTTCTTAATTTAAACTGAGCTGCCTCTTGGATGTCAGCGTCCGCCTTATGGTGGTTGCTGATGGGCTTAAGAACAGGGGTGGATGGTTGAGGTAGTTTGGCCCCAGAATTTGGAAGAAACGTATGGGTCTAGAAAAGGTTAAGTGAAAAAAATATTGAGGGCAGGGGTACTGAAATAGAAAGAGCAACAGAACCATGAGCATGTGTGGCTCAATGAACACTTTCTGTTGTGTTTTCCTCAGTTTACCAAAGAGGAAGGGGCTGGCTAAGGTCTTACCTGCCCTGCCTCCAGCCCCTGGAGATGATGCAGAGGTCCTGGAGGCCCCTTGTCATAACTCATGTTAACCCTGTGCTTGCTGGATCTTGGGGCAGCCTTGGGGATCCTAGTGTGGGGGCTCAGGGCAGACGTTTGTGCCAGCCAGCATGAAACACCTCTGTATCTTCATAACCGAGAGCAGCTGCTCAGCATGCCTGCCCTCTTGCATGATCTGGGAGACCCCCGCAGCATCATTATAATAAGTATTATTATTATTGCCTGCACAGAATCATTCATTCTGCTTTTAGGAAGAGGGAGGGGACCTCTAGTCACCAGGGCTTCAATCTTTCCCCCCAGTCTCTTTACCCCTCTTCAGCAAAACCAGGGCCTGGCTTTGTGCAATCCTGCCTCTTCCCAGTTAGGAAGAAAGAAGGGAGGAAAAGCAAGGGGCTAAAAAAGAGGAGACTGAACCCTCCCCCACTACTCTACCAACTGTGGGCAAAACCTGGGTTAAGAGCACCTCATCTCCAGCCCCGCCTCTGCTCTCTTTCTCATAGAGGCCCTCGGGACCTCAGAAGCCACCCTGGGGACCCGTGGATATCTTATTATGCAGAAGGATCTGTGCCAGCCTCAGTTAGTCAGTACCGGTTTGGGTGGATTTTCTGGCCAATCAGTTACCTCCAGCTCCTGGAGCCTGCCATGAGCACCTACAAGGACATATTGCCCTCAGAGGACCTGCTGGGTTCCAGGACTGGCTCTGCAGGTGGCTCAGAGCAACGCCAAGCCACAGGTGTCAGCCGCTGCACTGGGAACCTGGCTTAACCCGCTTTATGGAAGCAAATTCTGTCGTACAAACACCGCCTCCTCAGACTGGACCCTGAGAAAGAGAAAGCGTGTCTTGGGTTAGCCTTTACCGTCAGTGCTGTTTTTAACATAGCAGGCCAGAGTCTCTATATTTCATCATCAGGAATCAGAGCTTAAACTCCATTTGGCAGTGCCAAGGCAAATTCATGCTGTAGTATTTACAGTAATAACAAATCTTATACTTAAGGCATGGCAGAATTATCTCATATTAATTGAGTGCCAAGTATGTTCTAGGGTCTGGACTAGATTCTGTGCACACATGATCTCATTTTACCTTCACATCAATCTGTGAGACAAGTATTATTATTCTTACTATTCCCATTTTTACAGATGAGGAAACAGAAGTCCAATGTTACAAAGTATCTTTCTACAAATGACCCCTGCTGGCAGTGGGGGGGGGGGCGCCTGTATTTTTTTTTTTTTTTTTTTCTGAGGCAGGGGGGTGGCGGGGGGGGGGGGGGGGGGGGGTGCGGGGGGGATTTGGTCCACATTCTTCTGACGTGGACCAAATCCAGTGGTTCTCCTTACACCACCAAGCAGGACAGATTTTGTGTTTATAGGTAGTGTTTTCCTGATAAATTTTTAGATTTTGAGTTGGGGTAAAGATCACTTCCTAGGGTAAAGAGGAAGAGAATAGTGAATTCTCCCTAATCGTTTGCTCATGATATATTAAAAGTGGGAAATGACCTGGGTTCAGTGGTACACATCTGTGGCCCAGAAACTCCAGAGACAGAGGTGGGAAATGCCTTGAGACCAGGAGTTTGAGACCAGCCTGGGCGACATGTTGAAATTCTGTCTCTTAAAAAAACAAATAGATCAGAGATATGTGTCTATTCTGAAAACAACAACAACAACGAAAAAGCGGAATTTATGCCCTTGGCTGACTGGCTGCCTCATCCAATTCAGCATGCTGGAATTTAAAAATATTGGCTGGGTACAGTGACTCACACCTGTAATCCCAACACATTGGAAGGCCGAGATGGGCGGGTCACCTGAGGTCAGGAGTTCGAGACCAGTCTGGCCAAAAGTGGTGAAACTCCCTCTCTACTAAAAATACAAAAAATTACCCAGGTGTGGTGGCAGACGCCTGTAGTCCCGGCTACTCGGGAGGTTGAGGCAGGAGAATCGCTTGAACCCAGGAGGCAGAGGTTGCAGTGAGCCGAGATTGCGCCACTGCACTCCAACCTGGGTGACAGAGTGGGCTTCCTTTTCAAAAAAAAAAAAAAAAGGGTACTGGATCATGAGCAAATGTCCACTGATGCTATCACAGGGTGATGGAGACTGGCCCATGGGTGAGGGCGAGCTGCTTTGTGGGCTCTTGAGCTAGGAAGTCACGGTTGCTCTTGTGCCTCTTTGAGAAATATTTAGCACCTTTGAATTCAGCCCACCAAGTGGCTCTCAGTTCATAGAAAGGACACCTGGAAGTTAACTGTGAGAATTCCTTACCCATGACAATGACTGAATGGCAGTGCTTGGGTGGGGGAAAGGGTGTGGTGTGAAAACAATGTGCAATTTGATGACTTAGACTCCAAAAGTATCCTCATTTGACACTGGAATGACCAGGAAGGCTGGAGAGCAGGCTGTAATTATATGATTGTACAACTCTGACCCCTCCCAGGCAATGAGTTCAAGGTATGGAGCAGACCATATTTGCTGTTCATCTGCAAGGACCGGTGTGAAGGAGGTGCTGAGTAGAGGGGTACCGAGTGGACACATCTCACTCCCATCTTTCTCTAGCGCTAGTGCACCCGTCCGCTCGCGCACTTGGCCTTCCCAGCAGCCCCTCAACTCTGAAGAACTGGCCCACTTTCTTTTCTGTAGCTTCTGTTAAGATGATAACAACTGGTGTATTGAAGGAACTGGCTCAAAGTTTGATTGTCCCTCCCTCGCTGGTGTCCCAAGGCACATCCCTGGGAGGTCAGCCCTCCCCACTTCCTCCAGAGCCCTGCCCTCAGGCCTCCAGCAAGTGCTTCCTCCTTTAAATCTCTGTTTTGCATTTTGTTCCCAATTTGCCTGCATTTATGGAGACCTTCTGGAACAGAAGCCCTTTCTCTGAACCTTATTGGCCTTGCCTTCTAGTCCTTTCTCGCCTCAGACCTCGGTCACGTGGCTTTTTCCCTCCAGGAACTTTGTAACCACCCCCTCCCTATGGCTCCCTCCTCTCCCACCTGGTCTGCTCCACCGGTCTGAGCTGCCTCGGGGCCAGGTGCAGCCTGCATGGTTTTCAGGAATTTCCTGCCGGTGACGTGGAGCTAGGTGCTGCAAGGGGAACACAGGCAGGGGAGGGACTAGCAAGGGAGATCTGGCATCGTTTCTGGAACCTGCCCAAGTTCTCAGAACTGTGGCCGCTTTCAGTGGATCTAGAACCAATAAGACAGGGCTCCCCACTCCTGCTGTTCCTTCCCTTGCTCCTGGAGTGGGGCT